ATTCCAACTGACTAACTCTTAATTTACATCGAGAAAGTTCTGGAATCGTGCGTCCGGAGCAAGTTGGCATCTCTGTATATATATACTATATATTAGAGCAGATTGCAGATATATATATATATATTTTATCGTTAAATTGTAAAAAAGAAAATCTTTTAATCCATGCAATGATTTTTCAATTTATAACGAAAAACCTAAAAGTAAAAATTACATTACGGGGCTTAAATTTTAAACTGATTTCCTTATTTAACTAGTGAGACCATATTTTGCGATCCAAAATCTTCGAAAAAGAGGAATTCGCAAAAAGAATGTTTCAGTGTCTGATTTCGTAACTTAAATCATCGTCACAGTAATTATTTAGCATATTTAGCATGTGTCACTCGTATTCATTACATGCACTTAGACAGTTGCGCTTGGACGTGAAGTCCCAATATTTATATGAAGATTTTACAGAGAGTATTTATATGAAGAGTGTTATTAGAGTTACATTCCCCCCCCCCCCCNCTTCCCCCCCCCCCCCGCCAATTATTGAGAATTTATTCAGTCAATCAAGCAAGGTATTTGTATTTTTCACAATAATTTTAATAATTTTTTGTTGAAATCATAAATAAGCAAATTAACTTGTTATTAAATGTGATAATACAAAGCATTGAAAAATGTAAATAATTTAACTATTGTTTCCCGCAATCGTTGGGAATGGTGCCTCCCCCCTTATATACACAAAAAAAACAAAATGTTACCCAGAAAACTTTTGTTCTAATAATCGGATTTTCACGAGCTAAGAGCCAACCTTAATGAATCAGAGAGGTGACCTCAAATATGCTAATTATTTAGAGCAGACGATAATTTATGTTTCGGAATCATCTACAAAAAAAGTATTTTTTCTAAATAAACATCCCTTTTCTTTTTCAATGGATGAGAACTTTTGACCATTTAAATAAGGGGTATTAATCGCAATCCAAAACAAATGGTCATAGTTTTGTTAAGAGAGCTTGGACCCCTTAATGTTAAGGTAATTAAAAAATGTTTGCACACAATCAAATTAATTTATCTTAATGACATGCAAAAAAAATTTTATAATTGTTTATTTTATTTAATTGCTCAAAAATCGTAAGGTATGCAAATTTTGACACCATTTTAAGCTATGAATTTTTAAACAAAATACAAATTTGTCGATTAGTTAAAGAAATAAAAAGTTTTATTTCTGTTCTAATATCCTTGTTGAAAACGATATTTAAAAAAATTATTACATGGTTGAAAATAATGCAAAAGAAAAGCTATCAAAATCTAACACTTAAATTGCAATGTAGAATTGTAAAACATAAAAACTAGTATTATTACCCAATAAAACTTGGGGGTATTTCTCGTCTTTTAACTCCTATTTTATATCCGCCCAAATTGATTAATTTTTGCCAATATTTTTAAATTTATTCAAACCCTTATATATCTCGATATATATTAAAAAAAACGGAATTTCAAAAATAATGACTCATAAATGCCTTTTTATTTTGACAGAGTAATTTGGTCGTTTCTCATTAAGAAACAGCGTTTTAATAAACTTTGACTTAATTTAAAAACAGACTTTACATAAATCGCAATTATTTGAAGGTGTGATTTTTGTAGTACATTCGGAGAAAAAAAATCAGCGCAAATATCTATTATTGTGACCAACGAGGAAGTTAATTAGTTGTTAAACCTAAAGGTTTCAGATGAGTAATTTTGTTCCAAAAATAAAAATAGTCCAACCGCATTCAGTGGTGTGTAGCCATTTATTCAAATGCATCCAAAATAACATTTAATTTAAAATCTGAACGGACTAACATTACGAAGTGTCATTTTCTCTTTGAATTGTAGGTAAGTTATTTCTTTTTAGGTCTAGTTATTTTATTTAATGTTCAACTGTGATAAATTTATCGTAGACCTGTCGTTTTAAAATGAAATTTTTTTTTGGCTTGGCTTCAACATTTTTTCCATAATTTTATTATTATTGTATTGTACATTATTTTCAATAACTAATACTATATGCAATTTCATGCTTTTGAGTTAACTTCGCTGTTTAAGATATAATCTTTTTTAAAAAAGTTTTAACCAGTAATGAACGTAACTTGTTGTTTGCACCAGAAATAATTTAATCGCTACGTAATTTCGTGACTTCAGTTTTATACCTATTCATGTTAATAGAACTTTCGTCAAAAATTAGCGTCTCGTCTTTGAGTTTACTTACTTCACGGAAGAAAATATTATGGCACATTCATCTCAGCAAATAGTGAATCGATTTTAACGCGATTTATAGTATTTCAAGAAAAAGAAAATATTTTTTCTTTGATTATTTTAAAACTTTTTTCTAAACTTTTTTGTGCAAACAAGAATTTTATACCTAGTGTTTTATTAACAAAAATGTTTTGAAAAATGCTATAAAAGTGTTCTCATTTTTAATTTTCAGTGTTGTTTTTCATACTTTGGAAATTGTGTATGAATATTCCAAACGCCAAACATGTGCACATTATGTATGAAAAATATATATATATGTATATATATATATACTTACTGTTACTGCAGAAATATTCAATAACATTAAACGAAATTTTTAGCGTAATTTTTAATTAGAAACAAAAATATTTTGAAATTTGAAAAAAAAAATCTTTAAAAATTATGCAAAAGATATGAGCATTTAAAGTTTTCCTCATTCAGCGCATGCGCGGAAAACATTTAATTTTTTTTTTCTTCTTAATTTCGTTCTGAATCGTATTTTTGGTAACTTATGAAAAGTGTCCGATTTGAATATCTTGAAAATGTTAAAAGGCTTCTTGCAGTTTGTAAATTTGGAAAGAAAGCTGTGAATGGTTTTCTGTACCATTAAACAAGATTTGTTAAAAATGACATTATATGGCTTCTATTAAACTGTTTTTCTTTCCTAATACCATCCCGTTATGTTGTCCGGACCATCATTTTAGGCTATTATTTTTTATTTAATTTTGTTTTAAGAAACAAAAAAAAATTCGAAAAAAAACCTCTTATCATTTCGAAGTACAAAAGCTACTTTAAAAATTGCTATAAACTTTTTACATTTTCAAGAAATCGGACTTTTTCCATAAGTTACCAAATACGATTCAAAACAAAATTATGAGGAAAAAAAATTTTTTTTTTCACTCATGCGTATGATGAAAGAATAACTTTAAATACTCATACTTTCCGAAATTATTATATTTTTTTTTCAAAATATATTTTTATTATTAATTAAAAGTTACTCCAAAAACATTGTTTTAATTTGTTGGATATTTCAGCAGTAAGAAAATGTAAGGCGAAATAATAATTTTTTTTTATAAAAATGTCCTTAGATCCATGAATATTTAAGCTAGGTTTGCGAAATTTTGTTCAGTTATTGCACATATCCATAGTAAATAATATAAGGCATATCTCTTTATTTTTTGGCATAAGAAGTTCAAAAACATTCTTTTCCGTTCGTCATTTATTGTCTGTCCCTCAAACCTATGAAAGCTTTATTGATATATATGAGAAATCGCGCGACTTAAATTTTTTTTAAGTTATAAAATAATTATCGGATTATTTCTTGAGAAATATGAAAAAATGAGTTAACATCGAAGTCTTTCCATGCTTTTGTCCAACCCTTGTGTGTATGTGTATTGTGTCCATTCGTACTGCGCATGCGCTGAAAACATTTAAACAAAATTTTTCATAATTTTATTTAGAATCGTATTTGGTAACCTATGAAAAAAGTCAGATTTGAATATCTTAAAAATTTAAAAAGTTTCTCGCAAATTTATAAGTAGCTCTTGTACTTTTTTTTAATAAAAAGCTTTAAATATATAAAGGGGTTTTCCACAAATTTCATTTTGTGAAACAAACTATAATGCCCTACAATAATATAATGGTATTAGGAAACATGTGAAATAAAACATAATTAAATAGAGTGTGGTTCTATATAATGCCCATGTCATTTTTTAATAGATCTTCTTTATTAGTACAAAATTAAATTTGTGAAAAATCCCTTGCTATCGAAAGCTTATTTTCTAAATTAACAAAAACTTCTTAAAAAATTGCTAGAAACTTTTCAAAATTTCAGGACATTGAATTCAGACTTTTTTTCATAAGTTATCAAATACAATTTAAAGCAAATTTAAAAAAAAAAAAAACGTTTTTTAATGTTTAACGCGCAAGCGCCGTATGAAAATATCACTATAGATAGTCATAGCTTGCGCAATTTGTAACGATTTTTTTTTCTAATTTCAAAATATTTTTATTATTAATGAAAACGTATTCTGAAAATTTTGTTTAATTTTATTGAATATTTCTGCTGTTGTTATAAGAAAACGTAATCGAAAAAATTTTATAAAAATGTCTCTATCTCCATGAATGTTTTTAAGCTAGATTTACGAAATTTTGTGCAGTTATTCGATCTGGTAATCAACGTAATTGATATTAGTTAACAAGCGTAGTTTTTGAATGAACCAAAAAACATTATTTTTAATACAGTTCTGTCTGTGTTTCATAATAACCGCCCTTAATGCGTATTTTTAGAATTAATTTTAAGAATTTAGTAAAAAGCTACGTACATTAGGGATTGAAGAACAATATTTAAGCGAGAAAAGAATTAACTATCAGGCGACTATTTATAAAGAGCAAATGAGGAATTAAAATGATTTAAAACCAGTTTATGTGATGATAAAAAAAGAGAGTTCCGAATGAAAGGTGAACATATCCCTCTAGACTAAGTGGTTTTTATTTATTTTAATCCCTTCTTCACTCTTCCCACCTCAATAGTGATTGGTTATAGTTTTGAAATGTTTTTTTTTTCCTTTTCACTTGTATAATAATTTGCAATCCTTAATCTGCATAGCTCTTTACATTTTTAAAACATTCTGAAAAAAGAAATTAATCCTTACAAAACATCCTACATACGATATTTTGACAATACACACGATATCTGTATATACGATATTTGAACATACGATATTTTGACATTAATTTTTTTTCCCTAGCAACTCCTTGTTACTTTTCCAATGCCCCAAACAACAATGCCTGCGCAACGAAGAAGCAAAGGCTTCTGTGGCTGTTTTGGCAGCAATGAACCTCCAGAAATAACTTACCATGTAGTAGAAAATGGTGGCATTATTAACTTACAACCACATCCTCTTACTCCTACACAGCCAATGCCTGAAGAAGAAGAATTGAATTCAAAATTTGCCGAGTTAGTGGTAAGTATCATATTTTGTATCAAAAACATATTCTGCACATCTCATTCCCACGTGATCTTTTAAGTTTTCATGTCCTTGATGTTTTTTAACGCATCTCGACTGTATGCACAAATATCCTATAGTCCTAGTTGATGTATTTGTCCTACCAGCAGCTGAAAAAGAGTGTGTCTAAAATAAATAAAAAAACAACAATCTTCTTGAAAAGGTTTAACCAATAAGATATTTGTCCACAAATAGTAACCATTTTTGATCTTTCCACATGAAGAATCGCTAATTAATATTTATGCCAGGAAGAAGCAAAACGCTATTAAGATCTAATGGATTACTAATAAGGATGGCGAGACTGAAAACCGGCTTGATTGCGGACGGAAGACGCTATACCGCGGAAGAAAATTATCTTTTTCCTGCGTAACTGATTTAAAATTTAATAGAAAGAAAAAGTAAGTTGAGGCAAACCTAGAATAAGTCATGAAGTTACAATTGCTGAACAAAAATACTTCTAACCATTAAAATGCAAACAGATTATTAGAAGAGAACTTCTTCCTTGCTTAATCCTAAGTTATCATTCAACAATTTATTTTCATTTGTATATTTTCTTTTCAGTATTTGAAACTTCATGGCTTAGTCACTTTTTATGTAATTTCCTAACATAATTTGTTAGCGCTCTTTTTACGCTATCTAATAAAGATTCTTTGTCGATTGATTTTACAATTGGAAGACTTAAGAGGAAGCTATACAGAAACTTTTCAAGGCAAATTTTGTTTCACATATATTAAAATTTAAGTTTAGAAAATGGTCTGTTCAAGTAAACCTAGAGTTAACAAGATAAAGTGCTGAAGAAATGTTTTCAAAATACATTGCAAGATAACTTCCCCACTGTGTAATTCTAATATAATTTATATACCTTTATAATTTGTTTGCATTACATTGCATTTGTTTGCATATACCTTTTATAATTTGTTTGCATTTTAATCTGAAGATGCTTTTTTTTACATTTGAAACTTAATTCATTTTTTTTTATATTTTCAAATTAATTATGTAAGTGAAAGAGAATTTGCCATAGAGGATTTCAACTGCTATATAGCGCCCTCTTAACTTTGAAAACATTTTTATATTAAAAATATAGTTAGAACTTTCATATTACAGGGCCAGTTCGAGCTGATTTTCAAGTAGAAACCAAAATATTTTTGACATTCTCTCCATTAAGGATAATAGTAATAAATATGTACGGAGTAAAACACCCTTTATTCTTCTTCTATTGACATAACAGCCCTTTGTGGGTCAAAGCCAGGGCTAAAGAGAATAGAAGGGCTGGTTCACTCCTTTGAAGAAACTCTCTCCGCGCCAATCCTCCGATTTTCTCTAGTGACGTCACTTTGGCGCAAAGCTCGCACTTTTACTTCAAGAACAGAACGTTCGGCCTTACTAGCTCTAACTAATATTGGAGCATTTCTTTTTGAGACATATTCTAAGACATTTGTTATTTTCTATAATGACTTTCCTCAGTTTTTGCCGTGAATTTACAAAATTTTAAAACTATTAACGAAATGCCAGTTGCGCGATTGCAACTTGCAAAAATTATTGATAACTGATAGTAAAACAAAGGGAAAAAATAAAATTTTCCGCTTGTTCCCTAAAGTAAATGAACAACTATGTAAAGAATGGATTCCGAAATGACACAGTTAATATAAAACAGCAATACGTTTATTCTGTCGTAAAGAACTTTTATAAAAATTCATTATCTAAATAGAAACCGCCTCGTTACTTCATAAAGAAAGGCAGGTGAAAAGAATTAAAAAATAGATAAAGTCAAAGAAAATTAAAATGTAAGTAAAAAGTATAAATAAAATATATAGTATATAGTTGAAATTCTCCTAATTTCATAACATATTTTTTAATGTAGTTATTCTAAATATTTATGATTTTTTTTAAAAATTATATTCTCTTCAATTTAAATATCTATAAATTATATCATCGTAAATTTAAATGTCTATAAACAATTGTAAAATTTCTAATGTCATTATGAACCTAAATTATTATTTTGTTTCAGTAATTAGCGTTTAAGGTTGATGTTTCCTAATGATTAAGTATGAACAAATTGCTATTAACGACATATTTTAAAATCAGGGATTCTAAATTTAACTTAACTTATCTTTATAAAAGAATATGTAGATAAAAAAAGTGTCGATATATGCCTTCATTTTTCTTAATAGTTAAAGTTAAAACTGAACTTTTTAAAATAAAGTATTTATCGTGTCATTTTCACCAACTAGCAAAACATTTTTATAAGTTTAAAATGGTATTTTTTTAATATAATAACCAAGAAAGTTTTTTTTGAACTATGTTTATGAACGGAAATAATGTGTTAATTACGTAAAGTTTGAAGGCTAATAACCAGAAAAAGTCTAACTTATTTTTACAAAGAGAAAGATGCAAAGTTATCATAATATCTTTGCGTGCGATCTTCCGAGATCTGTGAACACAGTGACGTCATGAGGAGGGAAATCGTAGCTTCAGCTCTAAAAGCGGAGTGAACTAGCCCTTCTATTCTCTTTAGCCCTGGGTCAAAGCAAGCTAGCTTGCAATAGGTTTCAGATAACGTGACATTATAGATTAAAACAAACAAAAAAAATCTTCTTTAAATATATTTTACAATTAAGTGAAAACATTACTTTCCATTTCACCTACTGCATTAGCAAAAAAAGATTAGATTAATCATAAAACTTGAAAATTAAAAATTACTATAAATTTAATGCTTAGAAATTAAGTAAAAAATTAACGCTTTAAAAATATTTAAAAATTTTTGTAGGACTTTAGAAAAAAAACTAAATATGATATATTTTTTAATTTGTTAATATTTAAGAAATTTTTGAATTAATTACTATTTTAAAAAATTCAGAAAGAGAGCTAAAATGAGCTAATATATAAATGTAGTCACTAAATTTAAAAAAAATAAGAATAAGAAGGGAAACCAGTATTTTTAATTTCTTTTTTGAATAAATAGCATAGACTTAAGATTATAATTTACTTTATTAGATTTATATTACTTATCGAAAGACGGTAAACAATGTTATTACTTTCAATTTTGTTCAAATTTAACATATTAAGTTAAATATAGAAAAAATAACAACGAATACAAACCAGTAACAAAAATAAGTAACAAAAATATATAAATAAGAAAAGGAATAAGAAAGTAACAAAAATATAGAAACATATAAAATTTTGAAATCAAAAATTTTGAACATATATAATTCTTTTAAAGTCTGTGTTAACAAATTTGGTGAATAAAATTGAAGCATAATTAACTTATGATTTTAATTTAAATTGGAAACATTTTAAATCACCAAAAAATGAAAGAAAATGCAATAGAAAAGTGGGCAAAAAAGTTAAAATTTAATAACTAATTTCAAAGAAAAAAAATTATAATCTAACAAGTTCACATTATTTTATAATAATTAAAAGGAAAGCAATTTTATGTATTTTAAAATTAACTAAAAGTAAAGCATTCTAAGCAAATCATGTACTGATAAAATAAAATAAAAATATTATAAAATACTTAATAGTTACATTTTGAAGAGTGAAAAATGTATAAAATTATTTAACTGAAGGAAAATGATAAACTTTGTTCTTACTTTTAGGATGAAACAAAGAGTAACCTGTAATTGCTGATATACTTTTATAATTTGAAAGATAATCAAAACTTTTGTGGGATACTTTCTTTAAAAGCTCTGTCCAGCAGGAAATTCAAGGAGGGTTTTCCCTTCTTCTAACATATAGAAATTTGTTAATTTTTCTGACAACTCAGAAACCACCTTTTGCTTATTTCTTTTTCTTATAAAATTTGCATCAATGGTACTTGTGAATAACACTAATATTTCCATTTTTCTCTACAGAGGAACCGCCTACCTTCACAAACAAATTTTTCTTAGAAACTTGTGAAAGGTTAAATTATTAAAGGCAAGTTGATGACCCCCAAAGGGTTTTCTTGAATAAACGTAGAAGGAAACTCAATGAGTTTCTATATCATCTGCACCTGCAAATCGTAAATTATCACAGGGCTGGATTTTTCGGGGAATGTAGAGTCAAGTTAGTAAGAACGTTAAAAATTCTTCGCAGCTCGGTACACTGCCGCGAAGATTTGGGATGTCGATTTTCAAGTTAACATGTTTTATATACTAGTGATTTGGTAGTTAATATTTATAGTGGTAGTTACGCCATATTATTCCCCTTCTGGAATTTTATCTGTGATAGAATTCGATGAACGAATACCACTAGTTGATTGATTTATTTTTTTTTATTATTATTTTATTTATTTTTTTGCTCATATTTTTTCTTCATTTTTGTTTATTTATATCATTTCGCTCCTTATTTTTTTCTTCATTTTTGTTTATTGGCTGGGAGACTTATTTACTTCACCGGATTATTTTTATTATTATGATTATTATTATAATTTTTTTTTTTTTTTTTNTTTTTTTTTTTTTTTTTTTTTTTTTTTTTTTTTTTTTTTTTTTTTTTTTGAGCGCTATATTTTAAGCAAATCAACTGTTTAATGTGGACCATCCATCGATGTTGCCGAGGTCATATCACGTCCTCAGGTCACCATTGAGGGGAATGTTTTAATCGACCTTGTCAACCTTCATCTATCAAAAGGTACCTCATGATAGAGTCTAATTAACATGTCTTATATACTAGTGATTTGGTATTTAATATTTATAGTGGTAGTTACGCTACAATTCATGATGAAAAGACAAGAAATGTTATACAGTTTAAGGTTATTTTGTTGCCAAAATATTAAATGTATTTCAATATTTTATTTTAGTGCATTTTAGCTTTTTTCTACAAACAAGTGAAGAAAAAACTGTTAAAAGGGGAAAATATAGTTTTTGTTTTCCTTTTAATCTAGCCTTACCACATTCTTTCGTCCTTCTTAATAGGTGCCCAGCACAACCGCTTACTGGGCTTACACCTTAAACCAGACTCGAATACGCCATCTGGGGAAAGACCGGTTTCATGCCTTTAACCCTTCTCCCTTCCCTCTCCTCCTCTTTTCAGTTGTATAGGAATGTACTACGATATTTTACCTTTTCTTAATATTTTTCCTTTTTATTTAATAAAAATATTTTTTAAAATTTCCGTGATACTTTTCATTAGAACTATGTTTAATGTAGTTTTCAGTTCTATATAGTTTTCCAACTTAAAAGATTTTAATCTATATGAAAATCAAGAGAGAAACTAACGTACTTCCTACCTCTATGACTTTCTACAAGCTAATGGGGAAAGCATGCGAAGTGTTGCCATAGGTAGAGAGTTCTGCTCTACGCCACCTGCAGCCCATTTCGATCCCCAATATTTATTAGTTATATGTCAACAAAATTTACGTGTCGTGGCGGTGGGAACTGAAGATTTATTTTGTCCTTTTAGACTAAAGTATTGCTAAGGATTTCCACATCAATTTTGAATTCTCATTTTTTTTACTAAATGTTATTAAAAATGAAAAATGAGAATTCAAAATTGATGTGGAAATCTTTAGCAATTTTTTATTTTGTTACAGCGTTATTCCCAGCGATGACTGATCGATGCGAATCCACATCCGGCTTGCACCGACCACAGTGCTGACGTGAAATATCCTCAGTAGTAGATGGATCATGGGTTAGAGTCCCCTTGCCGTCAGGCTAACCGTGGGAGAGTCTCGTGGTCTTTCTCGCCATGTAACGCAAATGCGGGTTAATTCTATCAAAAATTCCTCCACGAAGGCAAGTTTCTCCCAATACTTGATCCAGGAGTTCCCTTGTCTTCTGAATTGGGTTCAAAATTACAAGGATACGTAGTTGAACATTAATAGTCGTAAACCTAAAAATCCGGTCGACTGTTCAACGACGGTTATAAAATTAAATAAAATCAATGTTATTAAGGCACGCAAATTTTTTCAAAGGTCCAAATCAAGCAATAATACGATTTTTAGCTTAAAATTTCAGAAACTTTTTTTTCTTCTTTTTGCTGCAAAGAAATATACTCGCTTTTATAATGACCTGATGGTTTAGAAAGAATTATCTTGTTATAATCTTCATTGTCTTAAATACTTCATTTTGTTTACTCGATGTTTATACCTTTTTAAAGAATTTTATTTTTTAATGTTGATTTTTTTTTAATAAGCTGAAAGATAAGTGAAATCTAAAATATTTTAAATTTACTGCTACAGATTTTTTCACCTTTTCTATTTTCGATATATGGGTATGTAAGGGAGGATTTCTAAAATTGTCTTTTCCTTATTATCATTCTACGTTACAAAAAATGGACATGTAAATATTTTCCTTATTTTTGATATTTAAATATTAGTGGCACAACATGCTTTGTGTGAGAACTTATATGGGCAGTTTGTCCACATTGCCTCCTTCATCCTATCTGTAATCTTCCTTTTTTTTTTCATATATTTTAACTCGCTTCTTTTTTTTTTAATTTCTCATTCCTTAAACTTTTTTTTTTGTATTATAACTAAAATTCCCATATTAAAAGCATTAGTTATTTAATAAGGGAATTTGTGGGCAGTTTATTCATTTTTTTCTTCCTATTTTATGTTTTTTTTTTATAGTTTCACAAAGAACAAAAGCATAGTAGAATATTTAATAAAGGTAATCGTCATGGGAGCCCATAGGGGAGGGCCGAAGGGGCCCGCCTTCCACCAGAGAATATATGCTTAATGAAACATATACGTATTTGATTAATCATGTATAATTAAAAGTGAAATTAATTTAAATTAATTAGTAGTTATTCAGCTAATTAAGTTAAAAATATTTAAATAGATAAAATTTCCTTTCATTAATTTTTTAATTCATTAAGCTATTTGTCGTTTTCTTTAATGAGCCCCCTCCCCTTAAATTCAAACATATGGGTGTTCCTGGTAATCGTAGAAGTTTTTTATATTGCCTTTGAGTGCTAAAACAACTGTCTTTTGTTTTCTTAAAAATTTAAATAAAATCAATGATTTATGGGATTTTAAGCAAATTTAAAATTCCCTTTTCAGAAAATTCTTTTGCACTTTAAAATTATGCTTTAACCACATGTTAATTTTATATAAAATAAATCAAAGAATGATAAAAATATGTTTACCTTTTTTTTATTTTAAATTTATGCTATTTCACCCAATTTATGAAAGTTATTTTTAAGTTGTTCAGTTAATATTTTTAATTGATAAAACACATAATTTCTTTATTTAAACCTTTTTAAAATTTAAATTTGTGTTATTAATTTTTATAGGAAGAACTCGACCTTACAGCACCCAAAAAAGAAGTTATGTTTAATCTACCACCAGAGAAAAAATGGCAGCTTTATTTAAGCAAAAAAATGGTAAGTTAAAAGTTTTTTGTATTGTTTCTAAAAAGTGGATAAATTAAAGAATTGTGCAGTCATAGTTTTTTTATAAAATGTTTTTTAAAGAAAAAGTTTAATGCATATTTTTCAATCCTTGTCAAATATGACGTTGTAAAAATATACATCTTGATGAACGCAATTAAATATTTATTCAAGAAAGAAAAAAATCTCCATTGAAGTCTGTAAATCACTGTCAAATAAGGTGGTATTAGAAACGTTACAGGTTTCGTTGCATTTTAATCCCATCTTATTACCGTTTTTCTTTTAACTGAAATACTACATCTTCATCTTGAGTTTTTTACTTCACTTTTGACAAGAATTCTAAAAATACGTATTAAGGGGAGATCATCAAGAAATATCCTGTATAGATGAGTTTAGAAACATTGCTGAACTATAAAGAGTTTGAATAAAATCCTTAGATTAGGTTTTACAAAAAATAAATAGAGAAACTAACCATGTTTAGAGTATTCTATAGTTGCTGCTTTTCAAAATGTAATTTTAAAATTCTTTCAAAAAGATGAAGTAAAAGAGTGGTCAGAAAAACTACATTATTTTTGTAGTTTACTACAACTACTTTGTGACAAATTTAGTTAACTGCTACTACTTTTTTTTAAATGTAGGGACTACAAACTACTTTGAAAATTTAGTGACTACTTCACTATTTTAAGAAACCACACTTTGCTATAAAAATTAATTTACATCTGTATAATTCACACATCATGTTTAAAATGGATTTTAATAAAAAGAAAATGGCATATATTAAACATAAAGAATTATTTAGAAATATTTATTCCTGTTTACATGAACTTGTTTGTTATTCTAGAACATCTCTTTCAAATTTATTCAGTCTTCAACTTTTTGCGTCTTTCTTGAGAAAGTTTTTATTTTTATTTTTAGAAAGGCATATTCTTAGAGGTTGTACATCTGAAACTAAAGTTTTTAAGTTACCATGAAAAACTAAATATTTTTCGATAAGTGCAGTTATGAAAGAATGCAGGGTTTTTTATTAACCAATTTTTGAAAAAAAAAAAAATCATGATTTTTTTTTAAAATGCAAGTTAAAGTTTCCACCCCAAAAAATTTATTAGAACACACGCACAAAAGAAAGCATCCAATAAAATGAACAGTCTAATGAACTTCCACAAAGAATGTTATTTTATCTAAGCATTTCATTTTTTAATTTTGAATATAAATTTGTTTTTTGTTTTTTTGTCAAAATACTGGATTGTTAGGGACTGTACAAAATTTTAAGTGCTTATTCATTTTCCCAGGTGGTAAGATTTTGAACATATTATTTTAAAAACTTTTTAAATCCTGGAGGGTTTTATACTTGGAAAATATTTTATCTTTAGTCAAGTTTGTTCTTTAACAAGATACTGATAAACTTTTATAAAACTCAGACTTGCTTACATGTTTTCAAGATAAAGTAAATCAAAATTATTATTTTTTGACAAACCCCGCATGAATTTTTGCATCATGTATAAAAAATTACTATTTTAAATATATTGCTTTGTAAAACATGTTATGTATTTTATCAAATTTATTAAAAGGAATTGAGATTATATATTTTTATTCATTGCAGGAGCAAAATGAACCCACTACCCATTATCCAGATTATTACATAGAAAAAGTTACATCAATGGCCAAGGTATACATTCAATATATATATTGATATACTTCTCAAAAAGTACTTTTATTTAAATTTCTAATATTTATTTTATTTAACATGAATTATTTTATTTAAATACCATAAAACAACATGAGTCTGTAGAGAATCTTCATATGTACAAATATCTTTGATGTTTGAGAGGCCTATTTTAGATATTTTCATTGATAAGTGTAGATTATTACAGTTTTGAAGTCCAACTCAGAAACATGTACTTTCTATTAATAAATATACATAATTTTTTTTATGAATTAAAAATAACACTAAGTAAGTTGGATGTTATAGAGTTGAGAAGATACAACATATATTGAGAGCAATAAGATAGTGCTTTGATCCTTAATTTAAGAAGAGAGTAAGTTATAGTCTATTTAAAAAAATTATGTGTTCTTAACATTAGTGGGTAAACAGGACATGTAGTTAAATGTTCATAGAAATTGAATTGCTTTACAAAGTTTTTGCAATTATTTATGAATACTATTGAATTATGATTTCAAAATATTTTATATTTGTTATTTGAAGTACGTTTAACAAGACTTATTAAAACTATAACTTTTAAACTGTGAGTATAAAACTTTTTGAAAGTCAACTGTAAATATGTTATGAAAATGTCTACAACATAGAGCTAAATCTAAAAATAGTGAATTGGGTAGCATATGCATAATACAGTGGATCAAAAAAAAATCAACCTGAAATTTGTAACGTTTTAAAGCCGAAAGTGTTCCCATTGTAATAAGAACAGAAGCAGCATAAAAAATTTTATAATTGTTTAATGTCTTCCATTTACACATCGTACTTAAAATTAAATGAAAACTTTAAAAAAATCACATCTTTATTTGTGTTTTTAAGTTGATTACTACTTTTGAAAGAAACGCTGTTTAATTTTTTAAGCTTGTTTGATAGTTTGAATAAACTAAACAAATTAAATTCTGATTAATAATTTAATCTTTTATGTTTGCAAATGGTGTTAACAATGGTGTATGACAATTTTTGAAAAAAATCAGAAGTTTATTAATTTTTCATAATTTTTCCTGCATAATTTTTCTTTGCTCAATATGTAAGATCAGAACAACCTGAAACTCACCACACGAAGATGGTTGCGCATAGAGTAAGTTCTACCCACATTCTTCCTAACTAACAATCCAATTTTTGGTGAAGTATTTTTACTAAATTTGCAGTGACAACAAAAGTTTTCAATAAAGTTAAATTCTTTGGTTTACTGCATTGCTAAATTTCCCTTTTTATATCTACTACACATCTAAAGTCTAATTTTTTTGGAGAAATGAGGCCTAACTGATCTAGACTTACATGAATATATCCATTTCTAGCTTCTGTTAACACATTTTATTTAAAGCCTCTGTCACAAGTTTTACGCACTTTTCCACAGTAAATGAAAGTGATTGATAAATTATGTTATTTTGGTACTGCAATTAGTGTCATTTATAATGTGTTTTTAATATCATCTTCACTTAAGTGGTGCAGCATTAGGGAAGGAGAACACACAAGAATCCCAATTAATTATTTTAAAGAAAACCGAAGGTTAAAATTTATTTTCAGTAGTTTGAAATTTCGAACAGTCTTTTTTGGGGACAGTTTGTCTTAATATTAAGATGATTTTTCTATGTAACCTAAGGACTGGGTTGACAACAGTGAGCAGTCGAGAATAGGACAAAGGAACCAGAGCATAATTTGCTAAGGCTTCTGGACAATGATCTAAGGTGATTGCAATTAAGATGTTCAGCAGATATTGTTGGTTGACAGAAATATGTTAAGCAAAGACCAAATTTCGTACTTAGGAAGATAAAATTTAAAGCTTTGGATTACTTTGAAATCCTTAATTGGATTTCTTGTGTTGTATATCCTCCCCTTAATACTGTGACAATAAAATGAGGATAATATTAAATCACTCATAAGTTCTGGTACCATTCACAGAAAAATACCAAAGGTTCTCTTTCAGTCCCGTGTTTTGAAAAGGTTTGTCAAACTTGTCACAAATGCTTCAAATAAAATATGTGAACATGAAACTAGAGATCCAACCAACACTAAGATCTAGATCAGTTAAATCTCATTTCTCTAAAAATCAGCCTTTAAATGTATTGTTAATATAAAAAAGGAACCATAAGAATGCAGTGAGCAAAATAATCCTATTCTATTGATAATTTTTGTAAATAGCTTTAAATATTATGTAAAAACCCTATAAAAATTGAATGGTTGGATATTGGATGGTTGATTGTGTAGGGTGTAGGTGGAACTCAATGTGCTACCACCCCCATGTTTGTTTCAGAATTATTCTCATTTAACATAATGAGTGATGAAAAAATAACAAAAAGTTGGTTAATTTATATTTTTTCTAAAATGTTTCTCTAACCTAAAAAATTAAATCATTGATGAGAATTTATTTAGGTAATTAAAATAGTCTAACAAGCATGGGATACTTAAATATATTAGCAATATTTCTATTTTATTTTGATTTTACTTGGAAACTACTAATAGGCAGATAGAATATGTGATTCTGCTTGATATAGCGTTGCAATTTAGTTAAATAAATATTTAAATATGAAAAAAAAAGAATTGTTCAACCTCCCATATGATCGATTTTCCATGTTTCCCCTAAATATGGAATATTTTTAATTTGTAATATTATATTTCATACACCAAATTAATTTATTTTGTTAGCTATGAATCCTTGATTTTTGTCATTATGCGTAAAGTTAAATTAATAAGGCTTCTAAATTTGTCTTTAATAAGACTTCTAAATTTATATTTAATAAGGCTTTTAAATTTTTAATTTGAAGTGGGATCTACTTCTCAAAATTGTAAATCGAAACTTTCAACTGTTTATGAAACTTGGACAGCATTGTTTTCATTTTAAACGAGTGCATTTATTTTAATAAAATAAAATTAATAAATAAATAAAACAAACAAAAAAATAAATGACTGAATGAATTAAAACACTTCATTGTCAATAGATGGGAATCATTTAAGAAATTTGAATATTAATAAATCATTTAAAAATAAACAATTTTTTAGTCAATTAAAAATAAAGCTCATTGAAAAAGTTTTTTTGTTTGCTTAAAAGGTAATTTTATTCCCTTATTCGATTAAAAGACTATTCAATATCTGTTCCTAAAGACCAGAATTCCTTTTTATTTTATTTTAAAATTGTACAAATGATATATTTAATGCTTTCATTGAACATGTATATACAATTTGCATATATATTTGAGTTTGTACATTATATTTATGCATGTATTTTTGTATGTAATACAATGTTTAAAAGTTTCAATCCAATAAACCAAATAATGTTACGATGCAATCAATTTCACTTGAAATTATAATTATGTTTATTTCTGCTGTAGCCGTACATTATAATTACTTGTATTTAAGCCTACTAATAACCATTATATTATGATTACTGAGAATTGATTTCTTGTAATCTTATTTTATGCTTAAAACAGTAGTCAGGATTACGTGTAGTAGTAGGCCATGATCTTTTATAATCTTGATTCACTTTTTGTTATAATTACTAATAAACAAAACAGCTATAATGAGAAAGTAAGATTATTTGGTTTGCCATTGCTTATATATTTATGATAATAAGTAGTAGTTGATTACTATGTAATTAATCCCTGCAATTAATCATATTTGTAATCAATTACTGTAATTGGTTCACAATTTTTAATGAAAATGCATAGTTTTTAGATTTTGCTCCTGTTTTTCAAAACTTTATTCAGAAGAATTAATCACAACACTAATGAATTTATTTATCAACCATTATTCAAAAATTTGTATTAATTTTTTTACATAATGAATAAAGACTTAATTTGCATGTAAATAATCATTCAGATTAAATTTATTCTGAACTTATTTCGAAAACTAAATTTTATTTTTTAGCATTAAATTAAGCATCTGTCTTCATGCTGAACAGTTCATAATAAATTCTATTATGTAATTGCAACAAACATCAACCCTATTTTAGAAATACAAAGCTTATTAAACATGAACTATAACTAGTTATGTTAAATTTGAAACATAGATTAAAGTTTCAGTGCAAAAATTGAACTTTCAAAAATTTATTTGCAAATGCCTGACAATAAAATGTATCTTGTTTATCTTGCATTAACTGTTTTTTAATATTTTGTAGTATATATGAATTAAGTACATTTAATTTACCTCTATTTCATTTGGTGATTCTCAATGCTGCCGGTTTCATTTAAAAAAAAAATTCTAAAATAACATGGGGTTTTCTTTTTATAAAAATGTTAAATTTGATAACTTCTGGTACTTGTATCAGTAACATTACCAACCATATAATCTATTTAGTTACAATTGAAATTCATGTTTAAGACAGTATTTTTAAAAACAGTTGGTATCTCTATTGAATCACCCTATAATATTTAAAGTAAGTTTTGAAATATATGTTATTGTTCCATTCACAAAATTTACATTATAGTTAGTTTTTTAAGTATTTATCCCTATGCTTCAGTCAACAGGATAAAAAATTTTATTATTGTATATTTCAGTTATTGTTTCCACGAGAAGAAGATGAAATAATAGCCCGTGCAAAACTTTTAGACAACTTAAAAACTGCATTAAGGACGCAACCAAATAGGTAAAAGTTAAAATCCTTTTTGCATAAGTATTGTGGTGACATTTAATGGCATGGGACTAGAGCATCTACAACAAATCCCAAAAAGGTGTTTGACCTCTTTAGTAATTCTGTTCCAATTTTAAAAATTTATGGGCTGTAGCACATTCCTAAACTGCTCCAATATGAATTTAAATTCATTTCATTACATTTTTTATTACAATTTGTTCCCAAATGTAAATGTCTTGTGAATACTGTAATCACATAGTCACATGGTTACTTGAAATAAATTAGGTAAGTAACGCAAAGTCCATGTATATAATATGAAACAGGTTGTTTTGCAACCACTACACTTGATAAATTTATACATATAGAATTCCCATGAGAAATTATTGAAAAATAGAGGTTGAGATGTCTTGAGCTTTTGAGGTTGGAAAGTAATTGTATTTAGTTATTAGAAAGGAAAATTGTCATCAAAACTTGACAAATTATTAACAAAGAATGGAAGATTAAAAAACACAACTTGTTGAGTTAACAGAGAATTTAAAAGAAGATTGAAATTTGAAAAAGAGCTTTTCAAATTTCATCAAACAAAAAAACTACTTGTATTTTTATCCTGCCTTCATCGACTGTTATTCATCAGATTTTTTATAGCATTTATCAAGAATTCCAAATATATAAATTATGAGGGGTCATTAGATAATACTGTTATCAACAACCTTTTAATTGTTCAAGCTTTCTTTAATTTAATTTTTTTTCTTTTAAAATATTCGTTATTGTAATATTTTTTTTATAATCTGATAATAAAGCTAATACAATCTGATAATAAGGCTAATATATGCTGATAAGGATTTATGTTTATAAAATTGCTTAGAAAAACTAATTTTTTTCTAAATTATCATATAGTTTTAAAGATAACTTTATTTTCAGCTTCGTGACGAGGTTTTTAGAACAAAATGGATTGTCTGGAATATTGAACTTTTTACTCAGTATGGATTACAATACAGCAGAAAGTCCTATTCACACCTCACTAATAGGGTGTGTTAAAGCTCTCATGAATAATTCAGTAAGTATATTGTGTATTATAATGAAAAATTTTAACATTTCAAAAAAGTTGAATAAAAAGTTCAACTGCTAAAAAAGAATGGAGGATATTTTTTATACCAATTAACAGTACAAATAAATCTATCATATTTTACAAAGAGATAATCTTTTCTTGAAATGTTTTAAGGAGCTTTTTGAGTGGACATGTAGAAAAATCTTTTGATTTATTCACTAGAGTTTAGTCCTCTAAAGTGTTAATTATTTAGGAAATAGTCATTGTTAATGAAGGTACCTAAATATTAAGGCAGAAATACTTTTTTTTTCAACAAAAAAATACATAATTTTGAAAGTATTGGATTAGTACAGATAAATAAATTTTCTCCTATTAAAATGAAAACGAAAAAAAAATTTTTTCATATTTGCAAACAATTATATTATTTGATAATTTTAACGAGATCTTAGTAATTAAAACATGTTAAAAATTAAAGTGGTCCTTAATATATAATAATTGATTTAAGCAATCTATATGCAAATTTTAGAAAAATTCAGAAATTGAATATAAAAAAAAAGTTTTTTTTAAATTTTTTAATCATTTAGGAAGGAAAATACTTAGTATTGCAGTTTCTATTTAGTAATTCTGATGGATATCTCTGTTGGCACCTTGAAGCTCACTTAGCTTAAAATTGATGGGTTCCAGTTTATCTAGGAGGAGGTAACTGTATGTGTTATGCTGACCAAATTGCCACCATCATGCTATTGATCACAAAATTTTTGAGTCTTAACAATCATCACCTCCTCGCTCACAACCAATGTCAGTTGAAAAATGCTTTAATTTCTAATCTTAAATGTATTGAGTAGCTATTGTGCGTGATTTAAGTTACCAAATTAAAATCTAATTGGCGCTATCTTGGAATAAACATGTCTTCTCTTTTACCGATACAGATTTTCAATCAGGAGAAAAGGATCAGAATAGTGTTGTCAGAAGAGCAGTTAAATCTTAGTGACCATTAATGCTATATTTATTTTTAAAGTTCTTTGTCATATCTCTGAAACTAGTAAAACAAATCACAAAACTTTTGCACTTGTTTAGAAAATTCACTTATCTATTTCAGGGGAAAATATTTACTTCATTAAATAATGAAAAATGTTAAATTTTTAAGTACATGAGCTTTAACATCTTAAACAATTTAATTTTATATGACAAAATCTGAAAATTAGACAGAAAGCTAGCTCTTGAAATATAAAATTTCATAAATATAGCTCTTTTCTAAAATAATAATAATAATAATAATATTACAAACTATTCAACTGCATACTTGCTAGCTTGGAAGTTCTAATTTTCTACACTCTTTGAACTGGTAGTAAAATAATAACTGAAATAGATAGTATTTTTAAACTTCTGTCAGGACTTAAAAGAATGTTAACTTGATTAGTGAATTTCATACAATATTATGTATACATTTTTCTTAAATAGTTGTAGTGAAAATGATTTAAAATTAAATTTATTAAACTTAAAATGAAATGTTCAAAACATAAATTTTGCTACCACTTTAAACACTATAGAAAAATTTCCTTGAAAGCAGAAGAGCAAGGCAAGTATACAATTGATTACATTTAACTTTGATTATTTAAAATTGCACAATTTAAGAAGATACAATAATTTCTATTCAATTCAGTAAACTGTTTTTCAACCATCATTAGACTATTACTAAACCAACATTATAAACTTTTTTTTAATGAAATTAATAAAATTTTCTATGCTTAAAATAAGCTAGTATGATAAACAGTCCCCAAATTTTTTGACTCATTTAATTACTTCAACACATTATATAAAATGCAAAAAGTAAAAAAAAATCTTAAGTTTTGGTTAGAACTAGTATTAAAGTTTCAATATCAAAGAGTGCATAAAATTAAATACAAACTAGAATCTCTTAAGTTTGAGATGAATATCTTGAAGTAATAAGGCGGGAATGTAATCACACACATAATGGCAAAGGTTTATATTAATACACTTCTCAAACTGAACAAAATGTTTTTAATATTATTTAGCAATTATAATTAAAAACTTTTTTATGCTTGGCTAATTTTTAATCTTTACAAAATGCTTTATTTTTTTTCATTTTAGAATGGTCGGGCTTATGTACTTGCTCATCCAACTGCCATAAATACTATTGCTCAAAGTCTCAGTACTGAAAACATGAAAACCAAAACTGCTGTTTTAGAAATTTTAGGAGCTATGTGCTTAGTTCCTGGTGGACATAAAAAAGTTTTAGAGTCTATGCTCCACTTTCAAAAGTTCGCTGCTGAAAGAACTCGTTTCCAGGTACAATTTTATTAATCATTTTATTATTGTGTTCATTAATGTTAATCGGCATGAATCCCTTTAACATTTTCATTCCAGACTATTGTAAATGATTTGGGACGAAAAACTAGTATGTACCATGATGAGGTTAGCTTGAAAACAGCCATCATGTCTTTTATTAATGCAATCATCAATTACGGACCAGGTGAAGATCATTTGGAATTCCGGTTGCATCTGCGATACGAATTTTTAATGTTAGGAATACAACCAATTATGGAGAGTCTCAAGCGTCATGAAAATGCAACCCTTGATAGGTAAGAATATTTTTAAAAAATTTAATGGGATTTTGTATTTATTGAATTAAGACTGACAGTTAAAGGACTAAATTTAAAAAGCATATTAAAAGCAAAAAGGTACAAGTGAGCAAAGTTAATGTGTAGTTTTCTGTATTTATACTTCTGTGAATGAGCTAGTGTTTTCAAAAGTGATAATAAGCAAAGATTGTGAAATGTAAATGTGAAAGAAGATAGAAAATATAAATGTTGCTCCAATTCTGCCTCTCAAAAAACCTGGTTTCATATAAAGCAGTAGAAAAGGTTTGAATAATGGCAATAAAGCTGAACCCATTAGTGCCTAGTATCCTCTTAAAACTGCAGTTTCTTTTCTAAGAAACGTTTTTTTAAAATAAAGGTTTTCAAGGACATGTTGTTTTGGGGCCCTCTGGTCCAGGAACACCTAGATCATGTCCATGATACCATCCGTTCATTATCTGTTAGTCCATCATCCTCCCCACTCCACAACAGCCTCATAGAGAGACACTAATACAATTAATGATATGAGCAGAAAAAGCAGGACACGAACAAGGGCAAGGTGAATAGGTCTTTTCCCTGCCCATAAAAATTTAAAACATTTAATATGGCGGCCCCTTAATAAACTGGCCAATGCAGTTTGTACAAATCTTGTGCCGTCAAATTCTTGAGACGAACCTATACAATTTCCAATGTAACAATCGTGTGCTAGAGGGACTCTCTACACAGCATTTGCTTAAGCCGTGTGGATAGAAAAAAATTAAAGGCACAGTTATTGAAGTAAAAGTTTTTATAAAATGAATTTTTTGCAACTAAAGAGAAAAGGAAATTGAATTATATATTCTTTTAAGTTATGGTTCTTTTTTATTTTTCAAAATAAAAAAAATAAAGATGTTGTAGCCTAAGCATCTCCATATTAGGATTTATTTTGCAGAAATATGATCTGTCTGAAACTCTCTGAAAAACATTTAATTTATTTTATGAAATGATTTATAAATACAACTGAAGATTAATAAATCTTAGTTTATTGTCATTAAGTCAGCCTAGTAGAAAGACAGATGTGTTGGTAACAATTGAAAACATAATAGTTCGCTTGGTTGAAAAAGAACGATTGCAGTTAAAGACAAGTTTTGATTACTATTAGTTGTTACAGCGAAGGATGAATTTGAATTACTATTAATTGTAGCTAGATCTTTATGAATTCATTATGCATAGCATATTGATCTTTTAAATTTTAGTTGACTTTGAAGTTCAAGCACAGTGCTTTTTTAATTGTAGAGTGAGGATAACAGAAAAAGTGTTCACCTGGTATAACTAACACATTTTTCAAAAATAGGGTTTTTTTTATGTAAGGACCATCAGGCCCGTCGCTAACTGATTTGAGAGGGGGGGTGTTGAAGTTTATTTTGCTGACTGTCATATACATACATACATATATATATACATATATATATATATGTATATATAATAAATAAATAAATACAAGAAAACACGAAGAAAGTTAAGAAAAACAATAAGTTTCATTTATTGCGCATAAGCTGCAAGTAAACAGAACTCATTAGATAAGTTCAAAATGAAGATAAAGCAAAGAAAAATTATAGACATATGAAAAAGGGGGGGAAATAATAAGTAAAAAATAACAACAAAAAAAGGATAAAATTTTATTTAAAAAAACCGGAATGTATGTATATATATATGTATGTATATATATCTATGTGTATATATGTAATATGTATATATGTATGTATATATGTATATATATATGTATGTATATATATGTATATATGTATATATGTATATATATATGTATGTATATATATGTATATATGTAAATATATGTATATATATATGTGTATATATGTGTGTANCTAATTTTTTTGAGCAGTATATATATATATATACAATTTGTATTTGGCTAAAGCTTGATAATCAAAGGTAAAACATAACAAATAAAAGAGTTCAAATGTGCCACAAAACTTGAGCTTCCAAAGTTTATTTTGAAATAATTTCGATGAGTTATAAGCATGTGCATTGAGCCCCTTTCTTCTCCTTCTTAACGACATGGACAAAGATATTGTCTTTCTTCTTAGAAACAGTAAGAGAGAACGTGAGAAAATATAGCTTGAGGCATTTCTAGCTAACCACTTTTAAAACATCCTCGATTTTTTAACTTGACAGAAATCTCCGGGGTTTTGTCTGAGCTTCACAAGGTCATAGTGCCGGTAACGGCTTGATCAAACAGACTTGCCACTTTTCCGTGAATACTCGGAATTGAAGAATTCCTCTATTTTTACCATATTTGTATTGAAATAATTAATGAATCCAATATTACAACATTTAATACTTTGAACTCGGCAACCATCCAAATAAAATGATTGAAGTGTCGATTCGACTGAGTGTAGCTCAATTTACTGTTTCAGAATTCTTAGGATTCTTGAAAAAAAAAATCTAAAAGTAAAATATAATATTTTATTTTTAAAACAGAAACTTTCATAAAGGTGAATTGAGGATCACATATATGTTTACTATTTTCCATAGAGAATATCAAATTTTGTTGTGATGATTAATTGTTCTAAAGATGTGAATTGAGCCCTGAACAATTTATTTTAGGTTAAAAACATTTTAACTCAAATAATAATCCAATCATCAGAGAATTTCAAAAATTATGAGCTGAAGGGTAGTTAACAAATTAAATGTTTTTTTTTTTTTTTTTTTAAATGTTAAAGTCATTTGGAATTAGTAAAAAAATTCATAGTAGAAAAATAGCTTTTATATATACCAATTGAAAATATAAATTATTTAATAATTTGTGCTATTTAAACAGAATTTAACAATATAAATAAGATATTTTGAATAATAAAGAATCCTTTTTAATAGGTACTCTTATTTGTAATTTTTTCCCAATATTTTGAAAGTAAAAGAAAAAAAAAGCTTACATCACTGCCATGATTATTTCATTTAAAATTTATTAATTCTTTCAAAAAGACTCATGTAAGTTCATCACACTTCCCTTAAAAAATACTTAAACCTCTAATTAAGAGTTAATATTATTCAGAGAATTAATATCTGAATTTTATGATACATTAATAACTAACTAAAAATTAAGATCACTAAATTTTTTTAAAATTTAAGACTGTGTCATGGAAATAATAATACGAGAGAAATGGTTTTTGAGATTTTGGCTTGTAATATTGGTCATCTTGCCTCAAATTATCATAAATGGTTACTCTTGAAGGAAAGAAAAAAAACTGAATTGGAAAACTCACATTTCACAGCAAGGTTTGCCGAATCGGGTCTGGGGCAAAATCCTGAAATGGACGAAACTCAGATAACATTGAAATCCGCTTAAATCTCATCACCGATGAAATATCTGACAACGAAAGAATTTCGGCAAAGTTGGGATTTTGGCTAGTATTATCAGTCATCTTGCTTCGAATTATCATAAATGGTTACTCTTGGAGGAGAAAAAAAAAGCTAAATTTGAAAACACATTTCACAGCAAGATTTGACAAGTCGGGTCTGGGACAAAATCCCGAAATGGACGAAACTTAAATAACTTTGAAATCCGTTTAAATCTCATCATCGATGAAAAATCCGACAGTGAAAGAATTTCGGAAAAGTCGTAATTTTGGCTTGTAAAAAAAAAAGAGAAGAGAAAAAAATGCCGCCTGGATGATATCGCTGGAGGGGGGCGAGACACCCCCCCCCCCCCNCCCCCCCCCCCCCCCCCGTTGACGGGCATGAGGACCACTCTTCCAGGCATTGGGGGTTAATAAGATCAAATAAACAAGTTGGAAAGACTATTATAAGTACTAATAAGACTAACTACTATTAATGAGTACCATCATCAGTTCCAAACAACAAAATGAAAAGGAAATATAGAATCATTTGAGTTGAAGTAAAAACAGAAAACAAGTGTATAAATGGGTTAAGAAATTAATCTGAAAAAAAAATGAAAAGGATTTAAAAAGAAAGCAGATTTTTTAACGTTTAACAAATGAGATAATTAGTTGTAAAAATAATGCAAAAGTAAAAATAGAATAAAAAATATTCCTAGAAGTTCAGGCCAAAAGAAAAAGAGGAATTTTGGAATGTTGCTGAAAAACTCAAGTGATCCTTAATGTTCCAATAATGCTAGATGTTCAAAAGAGATCTAATATCTTGATTTTGCATGCATCTTTAATATAGATGAGGTTTAAGAACACATTTGATTTGACCAATAGTATAAGAAAGCCCATAATGTCAAGCGATTCAGTGAATGCCTTCAATTAATTTTCTCGTGAATAAATTGGTTAAAGATTAGTAAAATTTATCTTATTAGCAAGTTAGAAATAACTATCTCCTGATCTCTTAAATTTTTAGTAATTTGGGAACCGGATCTTTGATCATGTTGTTAAATAATCAAATCTTTAGAGTTAAAAATTGAAATATTTATTAGATTGTAGGATCAATTCCTGTAAATTGAACCAATAATGCTAGAAAAAAATCAATGGTTAATAGCTATATGTTGGCTAATAATAATGTTATAATAATTATAATAGTTATGGTATAATATTTATGACCAATAGTTATGCTGAAAAGGTTAACAAATTCCTCATTAAGAAAAACAAAACTAAACAAATTTTAGTGGCGCATTAGGCAGATGTGTTTGGTTTGGGAAGAAGTTATGAGGTAAATACTGAAACCTTATCAAATCAAAAATGGTGAGTGTAAAATAAATGACTTTCAAAACTCTTGCATTCAATGACTGAATTTGAATAATCGATAAATAAATTATTAAATGTTTTAGGCATTTAGATATTTTTGAAATGGTGCGAAATGAAGATGAGAAAGAAATGGCTCGGAAATTTGAATGTGTAAGTATATTAAAATAATATATATAAAGGTTTGATTAAAATTTAATTCAAAAAATTTAAATTCTAGGATTTATATTTTAAATTACTTCTTTAAAACAGGTTCATATTGATACCAAGAGTGTTAAAAGCATGTTAGAATTGCTGAAAAAGAAATTATCTCATACACCCGCTTATCCTCATTTGCTTTCATTGTTGTATCATTGCATTCAACTACCTTGTAAGTATACCTTCAAATGTATTTGTCTTGCATTAAGAGTATATCTTTAAATATATTTGTCATGCATTTTCCTTGCATAATTCTCTTTGCCAGAAAATGCATTTTTGCTATGAAACTTTTAGTTTACAGGATGTTTTAGAATGGCCATTCTTGATATATTTTTAGAAAGGTATTTAACATTCGAGATTTAAATAAATATTTTAGCTAAGAAAAAACAAAACAAAAATTGCTTTCTCTCTATGCTTTCCCATTGTGGTGTGATGGAGCAAAAAGAAAAAAAAAGATTTTTCCTCAGCGAAGGGTAGCAAACAACAAAGAATGTAGATAAATGAAAAATATTAAAAATCATTATTTTCTTTTTTCTTCTTCTGAAAAACGAAGATTCAAAACATAATTGATATAAATTACTATTTTTAGTTTTTTTTTCCAACTAAAAGTAACCAGGCTGCAAGGTGCCAGTTGAAAAGGGTGCATTGAGAATTGTCCTGGTGGGCCAGTCTATCCCATCCCTGCAATCATGTTTAAAATATTCGTTGGAAATAAATGATGTGTCAAAAATCAATATAATGATTATTGAAATGAGGTGAATAGCAATAAATTTTAAAAAAATCAGTTCTGTGTTCTTCAGAACGTATTGAATATTTTTCTTTTCAGAGTTCTGTAAAAAATCATTACATATTATCAATATAGTTTAGATGAAAATTATTTAATGCAAATTTTGTCATGGGCCCTTTGAGACATAAGAACTGCCCTGATTTAATTTTTCTTCCTTCTACACTCTATTTAATATATGTAGATGCTGTAAATTGAGACATTTTATGATCAGATCGATCTATTTTTCAAAGATTGTTTGGGAACTCATCTAATTTTGGTAAATGCTGTAAAGAGCCAAAATCCATCAAAATAGTTTTCATCAGAATAATTTTTATCAAAATAGTTTTTATCAAAACAGTTTGCATTAAAATAGTTTTTATCATCAAAAACATATAAACCATGGTAAAGATTTTATATTGTTAATAGAAACAAAACATATTAATTTGGTTGGGAAATATTTTATTTTGTGCTGTATTTGCAAAAAACACACACTTCTAATAACTTAAGCTATTTCAAAAATAAAATAAATACAATTGTTAACAAAAATTTGAAATTGCTTTTATCAAGCCGCTCTTTTGTAAGTAAAAAAATGCTCTAAGTTATTACAATTTTTTTATATTATACTTTTACACAGCAATTTTTTTATCCTTTGCAGTGGATTTCAGTGCCTGCCCTCAACATTGGTTATTATTTGATAGAATTGTGCAACAAATTATACTTCAAGGAGAAAATGGAGAAAATCCAGATGTTTCACCTATTAACATCAATGTCCGAGAAATAGTTCACTTGTAAGTTATTTCATTTCATGGAAAATTTTGAAAGTTTTATGAATATTAATTATTGTCATTCAAAATATTGTCTTTTTTGGGCGGAATAAACAGTACAAGAAAATATTTTATTTGTTCTTTACATGCTTAATGAAGTATGTTTATAACCACTTCATTGGATATTTACAAGCAAACAAAGCCTTTTGTAACAAAAACACAAATCTGCAAATTTGGCAACCTTTACTTGAACATATTTTTTAATTACTCCTTGATCAACTGTATCATTCTTTATCTATGTCATACATATGATAAGGAATGCCACACATAACAATCAAAATGTGAATGTCACACATAGTCTAAAATACAAGGTATATGCTTTTATGCCTTACGTTGTACAGTATATAGAATAGTAAACTTTAAGATGTTTTATAAAATAACATTTTTTAAAGAATTATGATTTTGGTGTGGTGTTGACAGTATCAGTTGTGAAAAAAAACTCTCATTTAAGCATTTGAATTTATGAAAATGATTTCAGAAAGAGCTGACGTCCATAATTTATATATTTACATAAATTAAAAAAGTAATTTGGATAGAAAGGTATTGACTGGTTTTAGTATGCTTTGTGTTACAAATACTACCAATAGTACATGCTTTTTTACAGTTTAAATTGTATATCAACAAAGGCAAATAAATATATAGATAATTGTTTTTAATTTTCTTTAAATGTTTATACTATTTTAATTTGAAGTATTTGTAAAAAAACTTAAAAAAATTGTTTATAACTACTATTTTAGTATCAACTAACTGGTATAATGTATCAGAAAATATTAGAAAAAGAATAAAAATTAGTAATTCATACTTCAAATTATCAATACAATTTTTAAAAAATCATTTTTATTTCTTCTGTTTATATGCTGGTTTTATTTAATTATGGAATAATTATTAATTATTGTGTTTATTAACTGGAAGTATTAGGCATAAATTCACGTTTACTATTTCTGTACCTACTTTATTATTGTTAACTTTTTAAATTCAACACATGAAGATATTTTGAATAAGTCAGCAATTTTTTTTATTTACAATTAATTTTTATTCTTTATTTTTTAAATTTTTAACTACTGAAACTATATTTTCATTTTGAAGATTCTCAGAATACATTTTTTATTTATATCCAGTTTTGGATGAGATTTGCTGATTACTAAATTATGTTATTCGATACCTGAGAGAGTGAAAAATTGTCTTCATCTTAGCTTTGAATTAATTTCTATCTTTTTATATATATTTATTAAATGGTTCGTTATTTTCTTTATTGACTAGAATAAAAGTAAATCGTTTCTAGATTAGCTCTTTGTGTGCAAGAGGGTTCACAGATATTAGGGTTCCACAATATGGTGATTGCTGATTGTAGCAATATGGTCAGCAACATACTAAGACAGCCTTTACTTCCCAAAAAAACTGGCAACCATCAATCTGAAGCTGGGTGGGGTTCAAACTGCTACTGGGGATTGAACCCCAGTTCTTCACAACAGTTCAATGCCAACCTACTGACCAATCACATCTCATTGACTAGAATAATTAAGAATTAAGTCATTAATTCAGTTATATATTGGTGGAAAAAATTAACATAATGGAAAAATATTAGTAAGAAATTTTTTTTTTTTATTGAAGCTAAGATATTACATACTTTTTAATGATTCAGTCAAATTAGAAATTTCCTTCGGTAAAAGGAGAATTTCTTCCTCTCAAAAATATAACTTAGGGTTGCCTATGTCACAAAGTCTAGGGCCATATTATTAAGCAATATAGCTTATGTTTTCCATTTTATTAATGATCACAATGTATTTCAAATGCAGTATAGTAAGGTAAGGTAAAGATTTGCCTCGACCTGCCCTATTAAAGGGCACGCGAGGAAGTATACCTATCATTATACCAACTATTAGTATAGTTATTAGTATAGTAATTGATGAGGAAGTATACCAATTATTAGTATAGTAAGGTAAATATATATTAAAATAAATGTTAAATCTTTGAATAATTTTGAATGTTAAAGGTTAGCAACTGAAGAAGAAGTAAAGCTAGCTAACGGTAAAGCTGAAACCTTAGAACAAGAAAATATTGAATTATCTAATCAATTATCCAAAAAAGAACAAGAACTGGAGCAATCTTCACAAGAAAAAGTAAGCTATATTTGCTACTTGTAAAATTTATTTATAAATTGCCAGAGCTAATGAAAATAATTTTTTTTTAGGAGGATCTACAGTCATCTTTAAATAAAATGAAAATGAAGCTCGAAAAAGAGACTGTGGGACACTTAGAGGCCAAACAAAAAATTTCAGAATTAGAATATCGAATGAATGAGTTGAATCTAGTGGTATGTTTATCTTTAAAATATAGATATTTCAATAAACCATGTATCAGATTTTTTAAATCTTTTTTTTAATTTAAAGAATTTATTACTCTAAAATAATATTAAATATATAAGTTTTTCTGTATGAGAAGAGAAACAGATGCATAAAAGAATTAAAAAGACAAATTTTTTTTATGTCTCGGCATTTACAATGCATTTTTCTTGCTTATCCTTGTAAATTTAAGAAAATAAATTTTCTTTCATAAATCCCAGATTTATTTTTTTGAAAATTTAGGATTTTAAACTTTTTCTTTATCTGAATCACTATAAATAATTTGTTAAATAAAAAGGTTTATAATATGTTTTTGAATTCATTTATGTATAATTTATGTGCATCAGCTTAATAAAAAGTAATGTTATTGAAGTAAGCTTAACTTGGCTTTTCTAATGTGAACTTATTCTTGCCTTAATTTATTTTAAAATGTGTTTAATATGTTACTTTTGTTTTCTAAGTGTGCACAACCTTTCACAAGCTTTTGTTTAAAATTATTTATTTCAATATTATTTTACTTTTAAACTGTAAGTTAATTTATTGAATTCATCTCTCTCTAAATTGGTGCGAAAGAAGTTTTCTGTATGCATGCATTGTATATACTTAACAAAATATACCTCAAATGATTTTATTTCTATCATTATATTTTTTTATTATTTAGTAACTAATTCTGCAAAAAAATACCACCTTCCTCTGTAGTTTTAAAAATTTAATAAAAAACTAAAATCACCAAACAGAAAAAAAAATACTTCAAACTCTGTAAGGAATTTTGCAATGCTCACCCCTAATCCGTATTTTTAGAATCCTTGCCAAAAAAAGTTAAAAAACTGCAAGATTTGAACATAGCTAAATTATTATTTAAGCAGGAAAAAAAATATAAAAAAAAGCTCTCAAAGTCTGAGAAATTAATGTTGGAGAATATTAGACTGAAACATCAAAACCTATGAATTACCAAATAAAACTAGAACATGGTTGTAATAATTAACTTAAATTTGTCTCTATTTATTTGGCAATAAATTTTATGAATTCTGATATACTCAATAGTGATTCTTCAAATTTTGATAGTGTCTGTTGCTTCTTTTTCTAAATATTAATTTGCAACCACTAAAATATGTATATATTTTTACTAAATTTTTGACTATGATTCTAAAAATATATATTAAATGTGATCATTATGAAACTCTTTGCATGAAATTCTAAAGTCCTATCAACCTTACCATAGAAATTTTTTATAGGAGATAAATACTAGATATGATAATAAATAAAGACATGCAACTTATCTGGTTTGTTAGCTTGATGTTCCACATATTTGAAATGATTAAAGCTAAATTGTTTATTAAAATAATATAATTCACCAAAACAAATTACAGTAATTTCGCGGAGAAACGCCGCACCCTCAAAAATTGGCAGGAAGGAAAAAGATTTTCCCCGGATACGCAACACCATCGTACACGCCGTGCCAAATTTTTAGCAATTAACGAATTTTGAACTTAACGCAGGTATTGATTAAAGAGTTAACACATGCTCTAAATGCACATATTTATATAATTTAAATAGTTAAATAAGAACCAATAAAAGGGTATTGAATATACAAAAAAAAAAAAAAATAGAAGCAATCCTAGTATTTAAAATAGATTTCAATAACTTTCTAAGTAAAATATAGCATTTTCTAATTTTAATGTGAAGTAACCATTAAAATATAAATAAAATAATACATCAAAAACCATTAAAAGAAGATTGAAAATTGTTAAAAATAAAACGATCATACCTTTAAATCAACAATCCAAAATCCTGTTTTAGATATAAAAGATAAATCCAAACAAATTTTGTTCAAAGAAGAACTAAAGAATTATTTATTTAGATATCACCTATCACTATATATTCATATCATTGCACTTAAAAATTCCTCAAAATCAGAACTCTCTGTAACAGAGCAAATTAGGTTTACTAGTACATTGTTTATTTCGGGTTAATCTCCGTTACTCACACTTTCAGCCTCCCTTTCGGTTTCGTTTTGTCCCTAGATGATTTCCGCTTTTTTGAAGTCATTTATCACAATTTCTTTTTCTCTTTTAAATGCTGACAGCTTAAACGCAGCTGCATAATTTTTCTTTTTGATCCGAGGCATTTAAAATGGATAACTTTATGTTAAAACAAAACGAAAATAGTATAAACGAAACAAAAATATTATCGAAAAAAAAAACATTAATAAAACAAAAACACATCAGAATTGAAGATAAATGGATTAAAAAAAATAATAATAAGCTGAGGAAGATGGTCTAAATCAGATAGAAATATGAGCAATGAAAAATCAACAATAAAAAGCGCTCTCCAAAGCATTTAAAACAAGTTTCTATTTTTAGCAATTCCTCCCCCTATTTTTGCTTCTCAAATCAATTTTTTTTAAATGACTCCCCTAGGACGGTATTTCTTTTATCCCTGTCTAAAATTCTCACACACTTTGCTTTTCCCCCTCTTCACTGACCCTCAGTTGAAAGTTTGAAATTCATCTGGAACATTTTAATTGTAAGATTATTCAAGGTTATCCCAAGCTCTTCAGCACCCTTTGTTCATCAAACATTCACATGTTTTTAACAAGCAGCTGAAGAAAAAAGGGGAGTGGAGAGAGGCATTTATGACAAGTGNAGAAAGGGGGGGGGGGGAGCGTTTGTTTTACAGTTTAAGTTATCACTGTCCCCACCCTGATTTCCTTCATTCATTCCTTTCTGATTTACACTTCTCCACTCCATTTTCTACACTCAATAGCTGTTCATATGGCAGAAGGGAAAGAGAGACTTTGTTCTCTTGTGGATAGTGATCTCCAGAAAGTGATTCTAAGAAAGGATTGGGGAGTGTAGGGAGGGGAAAATTCCAGGTGCTCTGACCATTCTTTGGAGTAACATTAAGCATGAAAAAATAAATAGAAAGCACAGTAACAGGTGGAAAAAATGATGATGAAATTTCCTGTGTGGTTTCTGGGAAGAAAATGTTTTAAAGAAAAAAAAAGTAATACTATATAGGCCACCCCGTTAGATGCGCCTTCCTACTAAATTTTCAAGTTTTAAGTCAATTACGCCGTGGCCTATCTCTGCGAAATTACGGTATATATATATATTCATACATGTTAAAATGTGGGCTTTTTTAAATTTTTTTTTTCTCCTCCAATGATTCCTTTTCATCGAGTTTTCAGTCTAGTCACCATAAAAGATATAGCTCCAATAAATTATTTTGAAACTTTATGGATACATTCAGTGATCTCTGAGTGGATTTGCATAAATACAAGATTAATTTACTTGGACATATCTCTTGCTTATATACTTTTTGTTACATCATTTTGAGTATTGAGGCAATTTTCAAACAAAAAATAAATAAATAAAACTCATAAATTTAAAATCCCTGAGTGTTCAAACCTATTAAGACACTTTATTTTTTGATTTTAAGATTTCATAATCAAAACTTTTCTATACCCTTCATTTAATTCATATTTTTTTTTAAATGTAGCTTGAGATGGAAAAACAACAAAGGACTCAAGTGGAAAATTTGGCTAAAGCTGGATGCTTATCTGATGATGCTAAAGCTGGAATAACCCCAGCACCTGGAATAGTACCATGTCCTCCACCACCACCTCCACATGCGTTACCCCCAAATCCCCCTCCAGCACCACCTGGACCTCCACCACCACCTCCACTTCGTATTGGTAATACAGCCTTTATTTCTCATAAATACAATATATATTAATGCATTCAATTTCAATATAATATTCTGTTATCATTGTTATGCAGTCAGGATACACAAAACTCTGTCATGCTTTTTAGTAGTTATATGAAAATTTTAAAAGTATTTATATGCTTTGAAATGGTTTTACATACAACCATAAGTACGCTAGGGCAAATAAGATTGTTGGTAAATATTGAATTTTGTAAGAATGATACGTAAGATAAAAGACAGCACAGTTTTGAGGTGAAAATTTTACGTATATTAACTAAAACTTTTTCCAATCTCAGGAACTACCATTATAAAGCAGGCAATTTTTAAAATTATACTCTCTGTCAATCGCGCACTTAAATAATAATCTAATCCAAAGTTTCTCTCGCTGACGATGCACATCAATAACAATATCTTAACCCCAAGTTGTTGACTATGATATAAAACCAGAAGTATATCGAGGCATATAAAGTTGTTGATAAATGTTGAATTTTCTGAAAATGACATGTTAGGTAAAAAAAAAATAAGGGGAAAATTATATATTTATTAACTTAGTTTTCCATTTATACAAATGTAAAAAAATCTGTTATAAAGTTAACAAAATTCCTAAATTTTAAAACTGCACTCTCTGACAACTCTGCACATAAATGACAATCTTTAGATTTAAAAATTTTTTCTTGGTAGAAATAAAGAAACATTCATGTAAAAAGCAGGCATTAGAGATGATTTCAATGAAATCTAGGTTTTCTTCTTAGCTTCATCGAGTTTTATGTGCGTTAGTCCTGGCTTTTTCTGATTTCTTAGCTGCAAACTTAACTGCATCAGAAAATCAGTTCCCCTTGTTATTAGTGTATTACAAGGAAACTTTTGAACAATTTTACCCAGGAGCTCAATGCTTATAGGATTAAATGAATTTTAAACAAATATTTTAGTATGGTAACTTTTCAATGATTTTAATTTGTAGAAACTTTATTGAATATTATGTTTTTGTGTATCTTCTTTGATTTATTATTAATTGATTCATTGTGATTATTTTCTGTAAGAATTATGTAAATTTTTTAGGTTCATTAAATGACAAACCTTTAAATTTGTCAAGAGTGATGTCTAAAAATATTCCTCAACCATCAAATCCATTGAAATCTTTTAATTGGTGTAAACTACCAGAAGTAAGAAAAACAAACTTGCTTATTAATATACATTTCAAAAAATAATTTATAAGGATATAACCAATGTTTTGTAATTATTTTGTTGTAGAGCAAGTTGGAGGGAACAGTTTGGGAAGAACTTGATGACACAAAACTGTACAAAGATATTGATTTGCAAGAATTTGATAAGACATTTTCTGCTTATCAAAAACAACAGGTAACATTTTTTTCAATTTCATAAAAATTTGAAAAAAAATTTTTTTTTTATTGGGTTGAATTTAATGTATAAAATTAAACTTAAGGTAAAATTAAAAAGATATTCCGTGTTTTTTTCTCAATTTTTTTGTGTACGTTCATATGTAATATTCCTTTTAAGCTATGAAGTATTTCAGATTTTGGTTTGTACTAAAATTTCTTCTCGTTGTACAACTTTTGTATGATTGTAAATATTGAGATTTTCTGTTTATTTCTAATCTGATCTGAAAACTGTGATGAAATATATATATATATATATATATATAGTAGTGAAATATGAATTTCTCAACATTATTGGTAATTATAAAAGAACATTTTTGACATTTGGTTTGTCAAAATTAAACCAGTCAGTTTTTCTTTGAAACAGCTTTTCTACATTAGTTTAGTTTCAAAATTATGAAAAAACTTTTAAATACACCCTAATTAACAAGTCTCCACCTTCTCTGAAAAAAAATCAGCATTTTGCATTTTTTTAAATGAATGCACATTATGTTTTTCTTAAGTACTTGTGATTAATGTACTTGTGAAATTTGTAGTGCATTGGTTCAGTTGAAGAAGATATACCAGCAGTGGTGACTAAAGCCAAATCAAGAGAACTCTCTGTCATTGATGGTAGGCGTGCTCAAAATTGTACAATATTGTTATCAAAATTAAGACTCTCAAATGAAGAAATTTGTAGAACAATTCTAAGTATGGATAATAAGGAACAGTTACCAAAAGATATGGTTGAGCAGGTATTTATTATTTATTTTTATTATATAAGTATGTATATGAAGACCAAAGGGGGAAGATCAGTTTAAGTCAATTTTTCTCAAAAAAGGACAATTGGATCTCCATCTGTTGCATTTTGAGCATTACTTAATTTTGACAAAGTAATAACGTGAAAAATAGTCTCTTTCTGAGTGTTATTATACAGTGAGGCTGGACGGTACTATGAAAAAACCCTATCTTTCCGAGAAAATTGAAAAAATCATTTTTCTCTGAATCAGCTTTCTCATTTCTCTTAAACCGTTCTTCCCTTGTGGGTTTCATATGTCATAGATCAGTTGAAAAATTCAGCTATTTGCTATGAATTCACAAATATTTTCTAATCAGTCTGATTCTTTTTTAGGTTTATAACAATAAGCTTCTTTTCTTTGCTGTTTCTTAATTTTTTCTTTAATGTTTCTGCAAAACATGTTTACATAGAATTTGAATATTTTAAAAAAATGTTGGAGTTTCGGAATTTAGTAAAAATGGTTTCTTTAAGAGATGCCTAAATTCACTAGAAGGATGTACCTAGAAGTTTATAAGCTGGTAAAATATATAAGCATGATAACTTGAAATTTTTAAAAGCATTTTTCCTAAGACTATATTTTACTTACTTATTATAATAACAGCTCGCCACCTATTGAGTTCAAATTTAAACTGTGCATTCAAAATTATATTCCTTACAGAAGTATAAATGATTGCTTCATTTGATTGCATTGATTTCTTGCTATAAACTGTTTTTTTTAGAGATTGTTCCAGGGAATTTTGAATGTTTTCTTATAATGCACCAGCGGTAAATTAAAAAGGTTTTTTCATCCTAACTTAAAAATTCTCTGTTCTACCGGTCCAGCCGTATACCCTTCAAGAAGTAAGTCTTCAGCGAAAAAAAAACTGTACACTAGCCATTTTGTGTAGCAACGCTTAAGAAGAAAAAAAAATTACAGTACATTACTTGTACAAAAAGGCTCTTTTCAGAATGTTGTTTAATTCAGTTATCACCCTGAAAAAAGTTCTCAAGTAATGCTGGTTTTTCCACCATTTAAGTGACCTCACTGTTTAACTTAAATTTTAAGTTGCAACAGGGTTCCCACGGTCCTTAAAAGTCCTTAAAAACTGCTTAGTTTTTATTTTGAAAATTAAGGGCCCTTAAAAGTACTTAATTTTGATTCACGGTCCTTAAAAGTCCTTAATACCTAGTATCACTAGTTGGTTGGAACAATTTTTTTATCTTGGGAAAATATCCACAATTTTTTTAAAAGTGATACAATTTATTATTTTATATATTTTGTATTTAAGTAATTTATATTTTGTCATAAAAAGTAATTTTTTTTAAAAAATATATTTAATTCACGTTGCACCCCAGAGCCCAAGGTTAAGAAAACTAAGATGGGCATAGTAGGCCTTGGCCCTCTATGGGCTGTCGCGCCATTGAGTTTAGTTTTTTAAGTATAATAATTTGATTAGCTTTTAAACCAATAAATCTTCAGTCGCTTTTAGTTTAAAAAAATTAGAACAAAGCCTACATTTAATTAATTTGCTTTTATTTTTGAGGAAATTGAAACAGAGTTTG